GTGGAACGTATCATTTATCCCACTCGAGCACAAATAGCCATTAAATCGGATCCATTCGCGCGACTGGCAAGCGGCTATACAATTCCCCCGTCTATTTCGTGGCGGACAAATTCATCGTCGCCCTCGAGCTCACCTTTTCGAGCGTCTACTTCGCCCGCAGCCACCGTCCTCCCTCTTTTTTTCGCGTCATCTCGACCGAATGCGCTCTTGCCGCGACGTAAAAGGCCGGGATTTCTGTTCAAACATTCGCCAAGTCTCGCTTCAAGCCTCTCTGAAGCTTCATGGAAATTCATGACCCGCCTGACCGTTTCGTGGCGGGCAGCTTCCCCAAGTTTTCGGACTGTATTTGAGCCTGTACTCTGCAATGGACATTAACGCGTTAAATGTCACAGTGAAAACGGACACGTGTGGTAAGACGCATTAAAGTACTTAATTATTAAACTTGGCTATCTTTCACGGTTAAGCTAACAATTTGTAGCGCAACGTGAACACGTGCTGATATAACGCGTGGTCATATGGTTCGCAGCGATCCAACGTTTGATCTATTGTACACAGCGCTTGTAACGCTTCGTCATGCTACGAATGACGATATAAAGCGTCACGATATACCGAGTGATTATTCGACGTTGATACAACACGAAATTATTCGATGCATGCCGATGTTATGCTCCGTGACGTAATACCTGCTAAAACGCGTGCCAATAATTCGGCACATAACATATTACGATATTACACATTGCTATATAATGCGAGGAAATCCGACGTATTTAAAAGTGAAAGAGACACGATTTGCATCGTCGATATTTTAATGGTAACATAAAGTGATTCTACATGTCAAATACATCGTACAATTTTTTAATCGTAACATTTAATGGCTTAATTAAAATAAAATGATATTTCGAAGCAAAGTGGAAAAACATCGACTATGGTCAGACAGAAAAGCAAATTCGTTGAACGCGTATCGCAAAGGACACACATCGAACGGGAGTAATTCTATAAAAACTGTCTGGCCAAAAAAAAGAGGGAGAGAAAAAATGAAAGGGTGAAATTAGTCTTTATCACGAATTTTCGTTCGGCCGTTCGTGGACGGTATTGCATTCCATGTGGGAGAAATTGCATTACTTTGGAAAAACGACGTTAAAACGAGCCCTGAAACATGTGCCGACGATATTTCTTTCGCGTGACATACCAGCTAGTCCGATAATGAAGTTTCTGCCTGTCGTCGGTCGTTATACAGCGTAAAAATGTCCAATGAAACTCTTCTTTCGAAATGGCTATTAGCTACGAACTGGCTCGATGCATCGATTTGCATCCGTCCGCTTTGAACCGGCCGAGCCGCTCCCTAAACACTCTTGCTACTGGGACGACGAATACATTAATAGAGGATGAAGCGATCGCAAAATGAACTTGTATCGGTAGTCGATATCGTACTGATAAAAAAAACCCGCTCTACTGAAACATCTGGTAAAGAAAAGATTTTCGTGCGCTTCAAGGTATTCGTCGGATAATCGCCACTTTCGTGTTTCTCTTCACAGTTTCTTTCTGGTTCTACCAGATACCGTAGTAATACATAGATAGAAGAGTAATTGAATGCACAGCGATGCAACGCGCGACGATACAAGAGACGGTGGCACAACGCATAACGGTCGACAAGTAATAAAAGAAAGAGAGTTTGCACGAGCAACACCTACCTAAATGAACAATAACCAATTCAATCCCTGTTTCGTTAACTCGTCGAGCTGTCATCCACGATACACGCGTTTCGATCGGTTCCGAAGCTTCCCTCGATTGTCCGACGCTTTTATTGTCAGCAGACACTTTTTCGAAATGCAAAAACGAAAAGAGCGGGCTGGCAACGAGCATTGGCGAACTCGAACAGGAACAGACGGAGGGAGAGAGCAGTTGGTCGCATCCAGAAACGGAAAATTCAGGCGGTCCCTCAATTATTCGTGGACATCGATCAGTTGCCTTGGCGGACGGCGACGTTTCAGACAAGCGTCGACGGCGCGACACGGAGCGGAGCGGAGTGGAGTGGTGTCGTGCACGTGGAAAGGCAGTTTGGCAGGGCATGTGTCTCGTGAAAGAAACATCGTCGCCCCGACCGTCTGCGCGTTCTAATGGCTGCGGGGTTAATCGCCACTAGGAGGCGAGCAAAAGCCGGAATAAACCCGCGTAAAGATTTATGAACGCCCTGTGAAAAGAGGAGATTGCCGATTCGACGACGCGATTTCATCTGTCCGCGAGGGATTTTCGTCTGGCTCGTGATTGTTTTCCGAAGAGGCCGAACGATTGGATACGGAGAACTCGAGCGTGTGGAACGAACAAACTGTTCGCTGAAAAAAGCAAACACACGATTATTCGGGAACTGTGGAAAAACTGCAGCGATGCAACTTGAACAACGACGATTATTTACGGCTACGAAACGGGGACTTAAACGTCGTTTAAACGGCGGAAGTCGCTGAGCCGATCGATAAATGAGCATCGCGTAATTAACGTCTCAAACGAATAATATTGAACGTACATGAAAATGGAGCTGGATAAAAATATTCAATTTGTTAATACATCGACTCGAGGGTTTGAAAGGAGAATCTGCCGGCTTAATTTTTTTTGGACGCTACTCTAATTATGAATCGAATTTGTATTAAAGTTTGAAACGAGTTGAATGAAGATTTATGATAGCCAACAGGCTACGCTGAAAAAGCAGGATCCAATATTGTCGATCCATCGTAGAAAGGAGCCCTTCTCTTTCTTAATTTATCGACTTTCATCGGTTCTCTCATTAATTATTTTCACGGATAAATGTCGCGAGTAACCAAAGTCATCCATCCCTCGGTAATCCCCTGTGGAAATATTTTTTCAACCGGTTTCTTTAACGGGAATTCCGGTGGGAAAACAAGAAAATCTATTTTAATAATATTTGATGTTTGAACGCGGAGTACAACTCGCTTTGCTGAATCGAATGAGGTAAATTTCAAGACGGAAGCGAAGAAACAACGTTTGCGGATAGAGGGCGTGGCCAAAGCGGCAGAAAATTACCTATTGCAACCCTTTCCCTTTAAAACGAAGGAAATTAAACGGTCGTGCACGTGCAGGATGTTACTGAAATGTCGTCGAGCTTCGCGGGGTGTTCCGTTAATTGTTTTACGTTTCCTTGCGGATCAAAAGGAGAAATTGCCATTCTCGTTGAACAAACGTTTTAACTAATTTACATGGCATTTGGCCGCGTTGAGGCTGTGTCAAGCAACGCGTGGCGATATACTTGCTCGTATAACGCGTGGAGATACAACGCGTGGTAATTTCACGCTTGGTGACTTAATACGTAGGCGATACAATGCGCAAGAACGTGTTGTTTAACTTTTGATCATTTAATACGGCAAATAAGGGATACATGTACGAGTACAATGTGGTAATACACGCGTTCAAATTCCCAAGAGAATGCTAGTAAACATTTCAAACTACAGTAACTTAAATAACCTGCATAGAAACTGCATATAAATGTAAATTAATCTAGATGAAAATCAATTAATCTTACAGAGTAAGATACAAATAAATCGACCTGATATTTTTTTAAAGAAATCGTCAGAAAAATTTGAAAAAAGAAAGATGCAACGTTATTGTACCGTAAAACAATTTTTGCCGCCTTTGAACACGTTTCCTCCCAGACAAAGAGCTGTTTAATTAGAACTCGTTTTCCGTGCGAATACATGTTTATAAAACGCGGCTAATTTCCGTCTTTCGAAGGCAATTAAATTCGTAGTCGATATCGCAAATTTTACACGAAACAGCAAAGATGGCGAACGGTATTACAGATACGTCGGTATTCGAGCTAATGAACGAGGCGAAATAACAAAACGAGATCTCGTTTTGTTCTTGGCCTAGGTGTACAAGAAAAAAAGTGCAACTTCCATTTTCTCTCAGCTACTACGATAATGATAATAATAATAATAGTAATTACGAGCCCTTTGGCCATTTCAGCCTCTCGTGACTCCTTGTCATTTCTTTCCTCTTTGTTTTTTCCGCTTTTGTTTCTCGTTCCTTTTTTCCTACAGTCCGTTGGCTACTTTTATTTCCGCGGATCGTAAGAGTGTATCGGAAACGCGGTCGTAAATCGTCGATGAACCGAGCCAACAAGCCGATTTATTCGATTTATTCGACGTTAATGCCCGCGAAATCGAAATCCTGCCGACCACGTGTACAAATTTGTTACGCGAGATCGGCACGCGTCGATTTAGTCGACGATTTACAGCCTGAAAAAAATGGCCAACTTTTGTTTTTATCATCTTTCATCGAATTACTTGTTTTATTTTTTCTTCCCGGGTTTCTTGCTACTACCGACCTTTCCCACTTCTAATTCCATCAGAAGTTTCACGGAACGGCAACTTTTTTTCACGCAACGCCGCGGGAACATTTTGCCGTTTACTTAAAAATTGTTGCCAGAGCGAAAGGTTGTTGTATCGAGACTTTGTTCTCTCCGTCAACTTTTGAAGGATCGTTTGGAAGTTTAACGTTCACTGCCCTCCAACTTTTCAAGATTCTTAATTTCAATATCTTCAACAATAACCGAGTCAAGAAAAGGATAATAGTTTTTTTTTTCACGGAGGATGTTCCATTAAAATATCCGAAGTACGGATGCTTTTCGTGTACTCCCTATAAATCCACAGATACGAATATACAACGTACTTAACGATACAAATATATTCGTGTTAATGATAATAGAGAGGACGCGAAAACTCGTATCGTAAATTGAGGCACGTTTCAGCGTTCGCTGTAAACTGTTTGAAATCTCTCTCCTTTTTCCCTCTCCGCGCGTGATGTTTTTTTTAGAAGTACCTCGTCGAAAAAGAGGGTTTCGTTTAAGCGAGAAACTTGCATCCTGGATAAAACGGGATCCTCTGCGTGGGATTCTGTTTATACGTTTATGTCGAACCCGACTGTTTGTTCCGACGCAACTATATTTGCACGCTCGACCAGGCTGAATCAATTTCTGCTTTTGGTTTCAGTGGCCCTGTACGAGGGTGAGCAATTAAACCTGACGAGGATCACGCGCAATGAAATGGGCGCGTATCTGTGCATCGCGACCAATGGCGTGCCGCCAACGGTCAGCAAGAGGATCACCGTGGATGTCGAATGTGAGTAACAATCAAATCATTTCGACATATTCCACAAATTTCAATATAATTCTGACACAACTTTCATTTTACTAACTTTGCCACGATCAAACTATTTACGAGTAAAGTACTTTTCATCGAGAAAATTAATTATGCAGTGGCAAATATCTATGTTACCGTGAAAGACCGAAATCTGGAGAATGTCGGTGAACATTCACCGGTGAACGTCGACATTCTCCAATTTCGGTCTTTCACATCTATACTAATAAAAGAGCTATCCAATTGCATTACTTTGCAAGGGCGCTTTCGAAAAGACAACTATCACAGAAGACTAAGAATCGATAATCACGTTTTGCTAGCCAAGAGAAAGCCAATGATCCAGTAAAAGTATCTCGGACTTTTCGAATCGTTTACTCTGTCACTTTAACCTGTCCATGGCTGGTTAGAATTTGTATAATGCCACCCTGGAGACTTCGGGGAGCATTAAGCGAGACGATCGCGGGTCCTTCCGTAATCCTGCAAGGACACCCCGAATCCGCGCGTTGATCGAATATCTTTTGCCACGCGTTCCCTCCCCGGTAAGCCCAGATAACCGTTTCACCCCTCATTTTTCACTTGCCACAAAAAGTCCATCCACCGCGAGACCCTTTATCGGTTCTATGGTGATCGCGTCGATGTACGAAACGGGGAGTAATTTTCAACACCCCCGTAATTTAAGATAAGGAGTTTCGTATAAGAGGATAGCATAATCTGAAGGGCGCGAGTGAAAGAACGTGATACTTTTATTTAGGGTCGGGAATATTGAAGAGTATAGGGTCTAGAGGCCTAAGGTTTAACTGCACTACATGGTATTTAATCTAAACTTTGAGATTTAGGGAGATAAAGTCACAGGATTGATTTCTTCGTTTAGAAGTTTTTTCGAAGACAATGTAGAGTTTTTAAATAAAATGAAGTTCGTAATTAGGCCCTAAGTACAATACCCAGCACAAGAGGCAAGTATCTACAACAAGATGGTTAGAGCAACTAACATCTAGTCAAGCCGAGAAGTTCATTGGAATTTCTTTAAAAATTGAACATTCAAAGATACTGCAAATACGACGCGTGAAATCTTGTTCGGAAGGCATCGCGAATACAGTAATACATGATGGTTATCAAGAGACGTCTACAGAAAAAGATAAAAATTATTCAAAGAGCCGAAACAGGGGTCAGGCAGGTAACAAAAGGTTGCGGAGGTGGGGTTGAGCGCGAGAGACACGAAAGACAGTGTTTTCTCACGGCAGTAAATAAAATATGTCCGCGCCCTTCTAAATATTCAAAGGACAGAGTCGACCTGTCCCATGGCATCTCGCTTTCCTCTTGCGTGTACACAGCATCGCGCCAACCTGACACGAACGAATGGAACGCATAAAAGGGAAAAATGACCATGAGCGACGGGACGCGAGCTTGGCTGCTATTTCCCTTGGGTTTTCTCTAACGGCACATCTGCCCGCCACCCATTCCTTCCTTCCTTCCTTCCTTCCTTCCTTCCTTCCTTTCTTCCTTCCTTCCTTCTCGGAGATTCGTACACGGACTCGCGAACCGACCTTGCAATTCGTGAAATGAAATTTAAACAATACACGCCCCGGGAAAACGGCCGGTTCATTTCGAAACTTTTCTCGTCGGACTTTTGTGGCCTGAAACTTGAACCCCGAGTATCGGCTTTCACGTATCATTGGGCCGCCAGATGATTTTCTGCGATTTGGGAACGGAGATACGAAGCACGGTATTTTCTTCTCTTGTTTGCTTTCGAGCTTACGCTTTGATCGATGGAAATTGAGTTTTGACCGAGCAACGTTTTGTGTTTCTTTCCGCTGTTTTCGGTGGCCAGCTTTTGACGCGGCGGCCGCCACTTACTTATATCACTAAAGCAAAACATGCGTGTTTCCATTTTAACGAATTATCAAAGCATACCGCGGCACAACAAAAAGCAGAATAGAATCCATCGAGTTTGGTAATATCAATACGCAATTCTGTAATCGAGTGTTTCTTTAATCAAACGCACAGAAACGTTTAATCAATTCTCCATTAACTCAACGACAGAATTTACATGTCGCGATCGATCAATCTTGAATCGCATCAATATTTAAACGACGTGTCGTATGTGCATTTAAAGTTCGCGTCGTCATCATTTTATCGAACATGTATATCCATAACGTCGAAAAGGTTAAATTGTTATTGATACAGGAAATTCTGGAAGTATAAAAGCTCGCTTCGTACAAAATATATGCGAGCTATGCATTTTTCAATCTCATTTGCATTACCTTCTATAAAAGGGTATCGTTCGCATATATTTTATATTAATAATATTCGAGACGTTGACACAGTATCTCACTGTCGGACCCTTTGTTGCCAACAACGTATCAACGCGAACAAATAAATTATCGATAAAGTGTTCATAAATTGTTTGGAGTCACAAATGACAACGTTCGAAATAACGAGTTGTTGATGAAAGTTTGAATTCGTTGAATTGCATAGGGATTGTAAGAAAAAAGGTGTTTAAGAACCGGGGGGTTGAAGGATGGTGGACGGATGGGGAACGTAGATGGAGTCGATGGTGGGAAATCGAGAGAAGTATGCGTTAATTAGGGTCAGCGCTGGCAATTTGTGGATTTGTGGCAAGCCTGGTGCATACCGCCGATGGCTGGCCTCGAGAGATAGTTGCAGCCCCGCGTGCTCGACGTTATTCGTCTACGGTTAACCTCGTTCGTTTGCTGCCAGTTTTGTTCTCGCCTACCCGTAGGCCTACCTTTTCCAGCCATTAATTGCTGCAACCTGCGAGTGCTCGTTAAACACGATCCGTTGTTCGATCATTCGAGTCTCGAAAATCTCTGTTTTAATTCCCGTTAAGTTCGTTGAATCTAAGCGAATACGTGCACTTTGCGATTGGAATTGCAATTGCAGTATAATTCTCTATTTCGTATAAGATCAAATTTCGTGCAAACGTGAAGTGAAGATATCTATTTCAACCTTTTTCACTTTGAACTCTGAATGATCGTATTATCTCGAATCAATACATTTTCTATGGAGGGTCACAGGTAACCCCGTATAAACAGATATCGCTGTATTGTCTTGAGCTGTGGTCCTACCAAATAAAAGGGATTGAAGAGCGTCCCTTAGCAGTCCCTATTTTCCATAGATTTTCGAAACACGTTCCATGATATAGTTTCGGTATAGTTTCTCGCAAGTGTGGCGTCTTGAACAGTAACCATAGTCACGTTTAGAAATTGGATCGACGACAAAAGTTGGTCAAAATTACCCAACTCACCCCGAAATTAATTTGTAAACTAGTTTCGTAACGATTCTAATCAAGCCGAACGAAACTGCATCGAACAACTCGCGAGTTCGCGTTCGATTAAACAGAATTTCGAGGAAAAAATGGGGATCCAGTAGCAGCGATTCCGGAGATCATCCAATCCGACTTCGACTCCACGATTTCCTTCCTAATCCGCGCTTCGAGTGACCCTAACGAAGTTTGCCGAAGTTTCCATGTTTATTCCGGTCGAGTTAAGCGACGAACGTCGTGCCATCATTTTCCGAGAAGATGTACTTACATTTGATCAATTCCGGAAAAACGGGAACCCGGACAAGGAAGCTCCGGTGTCCTTTCAATGCTCGAACAGAAACTTGGAGGTGGAAACTTTTTCACCTGAAACCTTGTTTCGTAGTCGAGGAGGGGTCGAGCTACGAAGCTGGTGCACGGCTCACGAGTCGGAAAATTGTACCGAAGCAACTCTATTTGCTCTTGGGAAACAGGATGGAAACGAAAAGATGGCGCGATTATGTTAAACGATGCCACGTTATTGTAGTTGGCGAAACTTCTCATTTCATTCCAGCGCTGGAAGTTCCTTGCCCTTCTTGTCGTATTAGTTTCTAGTCCGTTGATGGAGCTTTAAATCCACTTTTCAGGTTAATGGATTTCAATTGTTTACGTCTGCTGTTATTATTCTCACATAACATTGATAACAGAATATTTAGAAATATTACATACGTGAAATTAAAAATATTACATATTTTATTTTGCATAAATTCTTGTACCGATAGATCACCTAGGTTTAAATGACTACAGTTCGAATGTAACAAGTGTGGCGATTATTCTACGGTCATTTGATGTATCTTGTAAGTGATAATCGGGTTCTATTAATGTTACAGTCTCGCCATTGATCTTCGTACCGAATCAGCTAGTCGGTGCGCCATCCGGCACCAACGTAACGATCGACTGTCATACGGAGGCTTATCCTCGAGCGATGAGCTACTGGTTCCTCGATGACGTTATGATACTGTCGAACGAGAAGTACACGACGGAGATCACGGAGAACAGCTACAGATCGTACATGAAGCTCACCATAAGAAATATACAGAAAGAGGACTTTGGCAATTATCGTTGTATCAGCAAGAACTCGCTGGGCGAGACGGAAGGCTCCATTAGGGTGTATGGTAATATTGAAAACGATTCGAAGCAACTATTTTATCTCTAAACCTAATTCAAGTTCTTGAGACTAATAGCTGAATTTGATGCTTGTGCAAAAATTATTTGGGCAAACAATAGAATACTTTCGTAATCATCGCTTTTCAAAGCTGGAGCTTCTCACAGAAGTCTTAAAGTATCCCATTTATGAAGTTCCCTCGTCTCCCAGCGTGTAATTCGTTCCCCATAGGATGATTCGAGTTAAAATTCATCCCCGCGCCTGAAGAATCGGCTCAAAGGGAATCGACTCTTAAAGTTGAATAATTTTTATTTCAGAAATTCCAAAGCCGTCCGCGGCGCCGAAGGCCACGGAGATCAAGAGCAGCGCCAACAAAGAAGGTGAGAGCCTCATTGAATATATTGCACTTGGAGCTCCTGGAATCGATATCACGTAGGTCCTCTCCGACGCTTCCCTCTTCGTCAGACTCATTATCCGCATTTTATTTTCAAACCGTGATCGGACTACTAAAGTTGCCCTATTCGCGAGGAAACGTTACAATTATAACACTTCGTTTACTATTTCTTCTACAAAATTTCTCTATAGTAGTTCAGCAAATTAAACGTTTCAAATACTGTGTCTCGAGAACCTTTAAATTTGATATAATCGAACAATTAACGAAATGAAACCTTTGAACATTTGCAATAACGCAATTTGACGAAATGTTATCGAATTAGACCCTCGTACTCCTTGCGAGCGATTTCAAAGGAAAGTTTCGCGATGGCACTCGATAAATCACGATGAATGAATTCCGCGTGGAATCAGGAGCACGCTTTAGTAGTCCAAACAATTTAGACTCTCGTTTCGCGTTCGTATCGATTGCTTCACGCTTGGTCGGAACACGGTAAGAAGCGTTGTATCGCTGCATCGAAAAGGCACGTTTTACCCCCCTCTCGTACGAGTATCTTCGCCCGCTAACGACATCCGTTTTGCGTAAATCTCTATTCGATTCGCGAGCTCGATCTTTCCGGGACTCTTTTCGCGCACAATGGAGAACCTTAACTCTCACGGAGAATGATACTTGTTACGTAACCGAGAAGATGGGATCTCCAGTTTGATCCCCTATGGATACAATATGGGTACACATCTGACTCGAAAATAAGCTCTCAATTAATACTTCACCCATTTCGAACACCTCTTGTTATAAAACGATGTACAAAACTGGTAGCGATATTTTTAGAATGGGATTTTATTTTTATATAGAACTGCATTGTCGATCCTGACCTGTTTTCTCTACAAATTAAATAGCTTCACATAATCTCATTGCTACTTAATCATTTAAATAGTCCCTTGAAGTAAACTGTAAACATATGAAATACCATTGCATTGAGTGAGGGAAATAACGCACATGTGGTGATTGAAGCATACGAAAGAAACTTCATCACGAAAGGTGGCTGTCCCTGAACGAGTCATTACGCGATGTTTCGCTGGTGTGCAGAGCAGTTTCAAGCCCTCGGACGTAATCTTTGCATTAGGTGGGCCAGTGGTGTGTGCACACCGTCGGGTGTATTATTAAAGCGAATAACTTGGGCGGATGCCTAGGTCAGGTCCCTGTGGTACTGGCCCGGCCGTTCTCGCAGCGAAACCAATCTCAATACACTGCATTATTAACGCCGTACAAGGCACGGCTACGACTGTATTACCACCATTAAGCTTGGCAATTTTACTTCGCAACCTTAACCCAGCCACGGGAAACCGGATGATTGTTAACGTCCCGACGGTTGCCGTAGGCGTACCTGGATTTTCACTTGGGACGCGTTCGTTGCCTCGATCACTTTTTACAGAATACGCTGGAATTCTTGAACGTTCAGGGATTCGATTGTTCGGCGGGATGCAATTTTAAATCGAGATTAATTGATTCGAGGTTCGATCGAAGGTTCCCTGTATTCCCGATTATGCGACGATGTTGCGGGAAAAGTTATTTAGATCCTAGGGGTTGATTTTCGGAAAGGTCCTGCATAAAGTTTTCATCTACTGTTGGTACAAAATGGCTGGTCTCGAAATTCGATCAGTTTGCGGTCTTCCAAAGCACGTTTTAAAAAATAAATTATTGTTGGCACGAGTGGAAAAATCCATTGACAGTAAAAATGGGATTTCGTTAGTGGACAATATCAAGCTGTAAATTGATCGAGCTATTGTTTGTTGAAAAGAGTCGGTTATTTTGTTTTGGGAACATTGATGAAACGTATAGTCGTTTTCGTCGAACTTTAAACTTCAAATTGATGCATCGAGGCTTTATGTCGCTTTTATATCATCAGATTGTGTCGGATTCTCGAATCGATCATTGTTGGTTGTAACGTCATAACTGATCATTTTATAATAAAAACGTGGAATTAACTTCCGATAAACGAAGCAGACTAATACGCAGTCGGATAATGGTCCTCTTTCGCGTTCATCAAAGCGTTGAAACCGAAACGTAACTGTAGAACGAATTTCTGAAGTTGAAGTTTCCAGCGTGTTTCGAATTAGCCGATTTTATCCTAATATACGGCGCAAATGATTGACTGCGCAGTACGTGAGAAACTTTCGCGAAATCAGGCCGGTGGCTCATGTTCGTCGCCTTGGCGGCTCGAAAATCAATCTTAATATTAGCGAATTATTAATGACCCGACCGTGGCGTGCAATAACTCGCGAACAGGACGTTAAGCGGCACCGAACAGTTTCCAATGGGACCTGCTTCCGTCTTATCTGGATAGATAAGATTCAAACTGAAGCCTCCGAGTTTGATACATCGATCGATTAACTCGTGACACAAGCACTTCTCGCGATACACCTTTTCTCTTACGTAATACATGCACAATACGTTCAAATTTCTTTATCTGATCTCTATACGCCTCTCTATTTTAATCGCGAAGACCTTGACTTACAGGGAACATTTTAACCTTATCAGAACATCGACTGCTCAACCGGTGACCCAACTAAACGCATTTAAAATTCAATTAACGCCTCGTGAGCAGAAGCGAGAATTCACAAGCTAGCATTGTTGTCGGATATCTAACGAAACCGCGGTGTTGACTCAAAGGAATCGCGAATTCGTTTGTTAGAGAATCTTTGGAACGCTTTCAACGAATCCCCACTATATGTGTAGAGTTGTAATATATAATTGTTAGCTTGACGTCGTTTGAGTTAAATGTTAACACCTTATCGATTAAGTTTCCTTCAAGAATATCAACAGTCAAAATTATAATTGGTAATAATTGTTTTGCACTTGATGTTTCGTGTCACGAATCGATAAGGTGTTCAGTATTTCCTGTGTCTAGTTTAGAGTGTATTTAGTATAGACTTTTCAGTAGCTGAACACACTGACATCCACGAAATTCCTTAGTAAATTCAAAAGATGTGTAATAAGGATAAAATTTTCGTTTAACAAAACTTTAGAATAGCGTATTCGTAGATTTCATTAGCCTGCTAATGTGTGTGCTCGTGGGATTGAAGGGTATGAAAGGAAAAATTGCAATAACATTTTTTCAACCATGAATACGAATCCATAGAAAGGAAAAAAATTTTCAATTTAATTATTTCATTCTATTGTATAATACTTTCCCGTCTCCATACTCGATTATAATATATTTTGTTTCGATTTAATTGTTCGCGTATATTCAGTAATGAAACGTTATTAATTCCTTTTCATAAAAAAATTTTTACCAGATTAATTTTGATGAAATTAATCAAGAAAATCCTATTTTGTTAGAACGATTTCTAAAACCGATAATTACACCTTTTGTACGCTTCAATGGCTAATGCTCTCCGATTATACATACAACTAACGATCCCGTCGGATTATAACTTGATCGGAGTTCGAAATTAAACAGCGTTTATATTACAAAGCGCAAAATGGCGGAAGGTAAATCCAGGTTCAATGGTGTAAACTGATAAATTCTTATTACAAATTTCCCTCTTCCCATAAAGTCGAACCGGCACGGAAATCGCCAACTCGCTAACCCCATTATTTATACCAGCTTATAACTCGTTAAACACCTCTGTAAATCTTCCTTTCAAAAAGCGAACTTTACGATCGCTTGAAATTCTCTCGTTCCATGGTGTTCGAGCATCTTTCTCTCTCCGACGCGTGGCTCGTTCTCTCGACGAACGGTCGGGATTAGCCCCACGAGAATATACGATATTTAATAATGCCTCGACACACTAGTTGCCTCTCGGGACACCCATCGATCCTAGGCGGCCGTAATTAATTATCGCCGAGCAAGGAGTCTGGAATTATTTCTGGCATTAGCCCCCAGGCTACGACGTATCCTTCTATCCTACGACCATTGCCCTTCCCCGTTTTAGAAACATCGCTTATGGAACTATCGATTTTACTCGCTGTTCAACCGATCGATCTCTTGCACCGGGAGGCAAAATATTACCTAACATATTTTATAGAGAAATTATAACTGTGCGAATCTTCGGACGGGAATATCTCTTGACATTCGTTATCCCTGGCACTCCCCTTTTTACTTATCTCTAATTTACAAAATAGGCGAACTATGAAATTTTTTATTTATTATAAATATTCCACCAATCTATTTCTCTGAATTATTCGTAAGATCAAAAAAATATATCGAGCCAGTCTATCAGAAAATGTTTGTTTAAATGAAAGGTATCGGGATCGTTCGCGGTAACTAATTCAATATTGCAAATGGCGCTTCCTGACATCGTCCTTTTTTGCGAGAATCTCTCCGCAGACAGGTTTCAAGTCAATTGAGCATCATCGAACGAACAGACGGAAATAACTTTCGACATTAACCACCGGGACAGGTCTCAATTGATACGATAAAGCCAGCACGCGCATAGAATCTCCAACTCTTCGAATTACCTTTCACTTCGAACGCTTCGAATTAAATTACTTTCGAAGGATATCTGGCCGTTTGCGACTTCGCTCACGGCCCTGGGTCCCGCAAGATTTCAACGTAATCTTTCGACCCACGAAACGAAATTAATTTCGCGGTTCAACCGACGATGTCTTAATTCAGCCGCGAGACCGTTTAATAAGTACACAAACGGTATAAAAGGTTCCTGCCCGCTGTTCGCAAGAATAGAAACGTTGGCCCATCTGTTTCCCATTTAACTCGAGCTTTGCCGTTTAAACATCCCTGTAAAAGGTCAGAGGTGGATATAAGAGAATGTACAATCGGATGACCGATAAAATACGGCGATTCCAATATTTTAAAAGACTCTTCGAGCGTTTACGGCAGGGGGTAGTTTTATGCTTTTACGAAGACATTTATGTATAGTTATAATTTTTAGACGCTTTATTCGTGCTCCAATTTTCAGGGAAGTCACACATTTTACAGAATGGCACACTACTTTTTCCTGTAAATCGAAAATGTTTTCTCTTAATTTAATCAATCACGTTACAACAACATTCGAACCGTCAGTTAATGGATTAATATATCAATCACTGTACCTATTTATGTCACTGAAATGTAACGTTGAAATCCGACATAATATTCAAATATCAGCTAACGTTATCGTTTCATTTTCTCGAAAATTACATTTCCGATAAAAACCTTTCGTTCTACGATCTGAATTTATTTTGAATAAGAAATCGTCCCTTTCTTCGCTGCATAACCCAGAAGATACGAGGGCGCATAATTAAATTTGTAGAAAATAAGGTGAAAGTTTTAAAAAATTTATGTAAAAGTGTTGATTACGCTGCGATTTAATTTAGCGAAAGTAATGAAAGATTTGCATTAAATGTAAGAAAGCATTAAGGATGCATAGCGCTCCTTTAGAAAATAGATTGCTCTTTTCGCGGTAGAAACGTTCATAAGAAAGCAGCTTTAAATTTTCAAGAGAATAGTCGAAAAGTTCACGAGGACGAAACAAGCGGGTCACAAAAGTGGCGGCGTTGGAACCGGATGAAATACGAGGTTGTTCGCGATTGCTCGACTCCCGTGAAAAGGAAACACCCCATACAGATGGGGAAGAGGGGGAGGCTTTTGTACACAAGCGCGTGGATATGGTTCGTGTTCTTAGCCCGGCGAAGATGGTTGCTCAGTGCCAGCCATATTGTTACGAGTAGAAAAGGCTGATAGAGGGCTGGTGCAAACGCCGCGAAAGAAACTTTTGCCTGGGCGTATTTAAACTTTTATTCGAAAACTTTTTAGCACCCCCGCTGCTGTCATTGTCCCCGTAGTTCGCTACGCTGTTTAAATGGTCGCTTGTTTACTAGGCAGAAATGAAAGAAAGAGAAAGAAGTTCCGGTGGGGAACGAGCTTCCAGGGACATCGTACGAGGAAAATAGAATATCATACAGCATGGGAACGAAGGGAATCGAATTTCCAATTTTCATTCACAAGTTTCTTAAACCGATTAGCTCAACAGATTATCTTCTATAAATATTTAAGACCGAATATTTTAAGATTCTCTTCGTTCTTAGCGTGATCGATAAATGAATTAATATGTAACATCTTCAAGAAGACGAAGGTACCTTGTGTGTCGCGATAACGTTATACGCAGAATTTGAAACATCGTTCTCGAGTTTCGAACGATTAAAGATTAGATTCTTGGTTACAAGGGGATGCTTGACAAGTTCATGCAATTATACAGCACACGCGGGACAAGCTCGAATATTCTACGCGATTATGGGGGTAGAAATAAGTGGTGAACCGTCTTGCCAAGGCGGGACTGTGTATAAAGCGTAACGATACATATAATGGTATACGGGTCCCGTGTCGAACATGAATTCGAATTGCACCCACGGTTGATGCTCGAAAATTACCATTCTAAGCAAAGTTTCAATCTGCCTCTGTGCTAAGACCGCCTCGGGTTAAGCTGCTGATAATAACTATTATAGACGTTCGACCGAAGTCTGAGAACTGTGATCTTTTCCAAATTCTGGTAACAGATTTTCTATCCGAAACGATGTCAATGAAAATTTTTCTTAACCCTTAAATGCATGATTTTCTAATTTTACCAAAAGTTATCATCTAACAAAATACCTTGAAAGCGGTTGATTCAAATTAAAACGAACAGATGACGCTATTGTGTATTTGATTGGTACGTGGCATATCTGCAACACTACTCATTGCAGGGTTCCTACATTTTGTATATAATTTATAAGATTAAAACTGGTATATTGCATTTATACAACTATATGCATTTAAGGGTTAAATTAACGTCCAGTCTTGAATAAACAGGAATTCTTAAGATCGCGTTACCCTTGAAATCAACGCTATTCAGAATTACATTTCCTCGATAGTCAGGCAGCCCATTAAAGAAATGATTTTACCGTCGAGTATAATAGCACATCGAAAATTCGATAGATAAAAGCTAAATGGAGTAACAGACCTGTAATGTTCTGGAATGGAGAGGGAACGGTTTTCCGGGGTGGTTAGCGAAGTTGAAGGAACTCCGGGACGAGTTCGTCGGAATTAAGTGGACCTCGATTCGTCCGGATAAAAAAGAGCCGTGGAGTATCGAAACGGCTGAATTCCGGACGAAGTTCGAGGCCCGCGGTGTGCTCTAGCGTCCTTAAAGAAATTCAAGTTTTCAAGCGCTCCTCGAGGGGCGTATTTCGCGTGGTCGAACTTCAAATCCTCGATTCGAGGATCCCTGGCCCACGTTCAACTCGTGGAACTTCACATTCATTCGCAACCCGACCACTGACATAATAATACTTTCGATCCCGTGGTCCATTTATTCGCGTTTGGCCGATATTTTTCCACCTTTCTGTTCCACCTCTCGAAACGAGCGGCCACGGTACCCTGGAAAGCACTCCACGGAAACGGTACTTCTGGAATCTCCAAAGTATTTACCTTGCTCTCTACAAATCTATGGAAACGATGAGCGTATGTTAATAGAGTGTTTGACTTTTATTCCTTGCAAATATCGCTGGTATTAAGAAACTAGTTAATTCGTTTTTCAACAAAGTTCTAACTTTCAACAGAGATTGCTCGGTGATTCTGCGAGTCCTTGCAGTTATAAAGAATAAGAAAGTGAGAGAACGTTCCACGAAGCGTGAAACGGTTTCGAGATCGGCGGTCTCTTACAAATCGGAACGATCGAAACGGTTCTTTACATTCAACAACCTTGTTTTTCTCGTCGATGCTCTTTGTGCTACTCTTTCGTTCCTTCTCTTCCTGTTTTTCTCTGTCGTTTGCGAAGCCACGGTTCAATGGAACGTCCGCCAGCATTCAACGCAACAAGTTGAACTTGGCTGCTTTTCAAAGAAACTGCCGGAATTCATCAAACCGCTAGCGTGGCCGAGCGTGGCTGTTTTCAATGCGTCCACAGTTCGAAACAGTTCTGTCTGAACGCGTTATACGCGACAAAACGATCGAGGGTGCTTGACCACCGTTTCCTTTCGCGAATCATCGCGCCTCTCTCGATGGTCCACCGCTGGATATTTCTCGTTTAATACATTCGCGCCGATCATATTTCACGCGCAACGTTTCGCGGTAATAAATGACGCGGTAGAGCTTCCTTCACGATTTCATGACCTTTTGCTTATATTTCGTGTGTCATAAAATTCCGCTGTTACCATAGTCTCGGGGACGAACGTTTAATTAAAATAATAGGTACAACCGTTTCGGGACATTAGTACACCAGACGAACGTGCTTACTCTTCTAAACGGATAGAAACTCGAACGCTTCCTTAGTTTACTGCAGCATCGAATTAAGCTTCCATGGTTACGTAACGAGTGCGCAGCTGCGCGAAATTCAATTAAGAAACAGAGAAATCGCGGCATTCTGGCAACAGCGATAGCCACGGAATTCAAACGGAAGTGTCATACGAGGCCCGGTATGGTGCGGAATAGTGCACGAGGGCCAGCCATCGACCAGTGGACTTAAAACGAAAATCACGAGTGTGCACATAAAATCAGTCGTGGACACGGTATACGCGTTTCAAAGATGTTTACTCGATACAACACAAAAGCGGATTACAGAAACAATATCGGATAGGGTAAATTATTTACGTGTACCGAATCCACCGCTGAAATTACGTGGCCATGTTAGGGCACAGCCTGTGTACGATATAAACGAAAACGCAATGTTTCTAAAGAGGAAAAGAATGAGAAGAAGAAGAGGGAAACGGAGAGAGAGTGCCTGGGGTTAGATGAGAACGGTCCTAATCTATTTTCAGGACGACCGAGCACGCCGTCACCAGCAAAAAGGCCGACCACCGTGTGGCCCTCGTCGTACAACCCGTACTATGCGAAAAGGACAGAGAGGCCACCTCCCCCGAGCGAGGAGAGGGTCGAGAGGCCAGAACAGAAGCTACGTGGTGGCCAGAGCACAGGTGAGGCTTGCATATCTCATCTGGCCCTCCCTCTCCCGCTCTTTCTTTCGTTGATCGTGTCTCTGTGTTTTTCACTGTGATTTTGTTCGATACAGGACCGCTCCCGATGACCGTCCGACTTTTGCACGTTGATAGATCGTTTCTCACCCGGATCTACGCAATTTATGCTAAGGAGTTAGGTAGTCAAGTCTTTGAACGATAGGCTTTCATGGGAAATCTAAAATTCAATTTGAGTATATTCGAGGTACATCCCTCGAAGGTCCCTCTCTTCTGTTCCCTCGAAGAAAGCAGTGTGATTAGCAAATCTCACGTAACCGAATTGAAAATGTATCTGAGCAGAAGGAATTAAGAAAATATATGAGGTACAAGAAGGCTGATTCAAATCACAGGACTCGTTAAGAAAATTATAAAGTTTCTACACGATACGTTTCCTAGACTTCCAAGTTTTCTATTCTTCTACCACTAATGCACCTTGCACCATCAGCTTGTCTATCTAATCACTAAATCTAATCTAATCACTTAATCGCAACGATCGTAATCTATCAACGTGCAAAAGCTCACGAAAATGTGAAAGTGTCAGTAAGCACAACCCTGTTTTTCCCTAAAAAACCACCGCTGTTATCATGCACTATTCTGCACCATGCACTGCGCTCGCACCACTCGGTAAAGCGTTGTAAATTCGCTATAAAACAGATTGGGGAATGATAGGTAACCTAGAAACTAACTAGGAAGGGTGAGTCACACGAAACGTCCCTGAAGCGTTCCATGCTGGTTTCGTCGAGCTTCTGAGCGTTCCTAAAGTTGAAACACGCGTGTTTTTTTTGTTATCTCATTTTACCTGTTCACGATCGAGTTTAAGGAAGGAAAGTTTTCAGCACAGTTACGAGCGATGAGCTCGACTCTGGCCAGGTAAAAGAGAATACGTGTCTCGTAACTTTATCCGCTGTAGAAAAGCTCGAACTTTCCTTGAAATCGGCCAGAACAGAAGCTACGTGGTGGCCAGAGCACAGGTGAGGCTTGCATATCTCATCTGGCCCTCCCTCTCCCGCTCTTTCTTTCGTTGATCGTGTCTCTGTGTTTTTCACTGTGATTTTGTTCGATACAGGACCGCTCCCGATGACCGTCCGACTTTTGCACGTTGATAGATCGTTTCTCACCCGGATCTACGCAATTTATGCTAAGGAGTTAGGTAGTCAAGTCTTTGAACGATAGGCTTTCATGGGAAATCTAAAATTCAATTTGAGTATATTCGAGGTACATCCCTCGAAGGTCCCTCTCTTCTGTTCCCTCGAAGAAAGCAGTGTGATTAGCAAATCTCACGTAACCGAATTGAAAATGTATCTGAGCAGAAGGAATTAAGAAAATATATGAGGTACAAGAAGGCTGATTCAAATCACAGGACTCGTTAAGAAAATTATAAAGTTTCTACACGATACGTTTCCTAGACTTCCAAGTTTTCTATTCTTCTACCACTAATGCACCTTGCACCATCAGCTTGTCTATCTAATCACTAAATCTAATCTAATCACTTAATCGCAACGATCGTAATCTATCAACGTGCAAAAGCTCACGAAAATGTGAAAGTGTCAGTAAGCACAACCCTGTTTTTCCCTAAAAAACCACCGCTGTTATCATGCACTATTCTGCACCATGCACTGCGCTCGCACCACTCGGTAAAGCGTTGTAAATTCGCTATAAAACAGATTGGGGAATGATAGGTAACCTAGAAACTAACTAGGAAGGGTGAGTCACACGAAACGTCCCTGAAGCGTTCCATGCTGGTTTCGTCGAGCTTCTGAGCGTTCCTAAAGTTGAAACACGCGTGTTTTTTTTGTTATCTCATTTTACCTGTTCACGATCGAGTTTAAGGAAGGAAAGTTTTCAGCACAGTTACGAGCGATGAGCTCGACTCTGGCCAGGTAAAAGAGAATACGTGTCTCGTAACTTTATCCGCTGTAGAAAAGCTCGAACTTTCCTTGAAATCGTTATTGGACGCTTCACGAGGGCGTGAATAATGTTTATCGTTCGACGGCTTGAATATTCTCGATAAACGAGGATACTAACGAGATTTTCGTAGCATTTGTCAGGGAATTATGCTTCGTACGTTTTTGGCTTATTAGATTTTTGTTGCTCACTTGTAAGGCTTCGATCAGTAGATTTAGTACATAGAATTTTTTCTTTCAGCACGTGTAGATTGTTTCAGAAATGTAAAGGTGCACATCGGAATTTATGTAAATGCACTCTTTTTTCAAACGTGCTGTATTTACGTCATGGATACGTTTTTGTAAATATAAATTCCAACGGTATAAAAAATTTACTAATTTTTAAGACAATGTACAGATTTATCCTTTCACTGCATGATTTTTTATACAACAGAAAGCATTTACGAGAAGAATACAAATTCGTAGCATTATTACAATCCTAAATAACTGAAACATTTAATGTACATCACGGTCGTAGCAAGAAATAAATGAAACTTCAGTTGTGACACATATAACACGTTACGCGGTAAGGGGTTAAGTGTTCGTTCTCCCCGTTTAAATAAAACAATTGTTCACTTTCATACGTTGGTACTCGCGAAAAAATTGAAAAACAAACCGTGAAATGTCAAATTTCACGGTCAACGCATAAAACCTCGACGTTTAAACTTCTCATAATCTCCTCTCTTCCGTTTCACGGCATTTCTAATTGTCCCAAGGTCCTTTCTTTCGCGCGAAAGGAACAGTCTCGTTGCAAAATGCCTCGACACAAATTCATCGTCGAGTCTGAAATTTAAAAGAATCCCCCCTTTTCTTGCGGTTTCCAGCCGTGCATAATGCGCCGCGTGTTTACAGAAACGCTTGCGTAGAGAAGAATTTAGGTACGGAAAAGGGAAGAGAAAAGAGAGCCGCAAGCTATGCGAAATCCACGGTGTTACACTTCTCCTTCGCCTCTTTTCTCATTTACGCAAACAAGATCTCACCTCGGCTTCTTTATGACCCTGAAAATGGTAGCGAGTGTAATTGCGCGAGCGCGCGCTAATTCGGAACCAGCGGCTCAAGATTTTCCCCTCGTTTTTTGCCGCTGACAAAACGAGACAGAAACGACATTGTAAATACACATGCAGAATGTTGAACATCGCAATATAATTTCCACCGCTATTTCCTTACATTTCCTCGTGATTGCGAACAAACATTTATCTCGTTATTAGACGCGCAAAAGTGTGACAATTTAAATCAATTTTCAAGCGCAAAGATATTTACAAACGTTTATTAATGAAAATTACATTTGATCCCCTCGTTGCTCGATTCGGAGTGTTTGATCACCAATCGTTTGTAACGCGCGGTTCAAAAGGTGTAATAACCAGACAATTTACTTTATAGCGACCGGCAGTAGCGTGCGATCTGGTCATTTTGATGAAGCGCGGAATAGATGAATGGCTATTCGGATCGTTAACGAGATAACGAGCTTTACTGAAACGATCCGGGAAGCTATTTCGTGAAGGTGCCATTAAATTCGAACCGGAACCGTGGACCGATCGAATAAAACCCTTAATAAGACGTTCGGACGTTAATGAGCAGTGTAGGGCACCGTATTTATCTTGATGCTCGTAACGAGCTGATACGTTCGATTCACGACGATTTAATTGAAAGTTTGTCGAAGTATCGATGAACCAGAAATCGGATTACGACGGGTCGTTAAGTGAAATTTATTAATTCTACGAACAGCATTCCAAAGTCTATTCGCGGGTAAAGAATCTTACTCGAAAAGCATAATTTCGAGTTCGACATATTGGAAAAGGATCGACGTATTTGCCGTTTCGTTGTCACGTTACAAATGGACTGATGCTAGCAGCATCATCCATAAAGTATTCTCGAGGGTGTTATCACGCGGCGATCCGTGTCACCGGTGAAACATCGTACCGGTTGTTTCCCATTCATTTTCATTCATTAAACGCCGTTAGCAGCTTGATATTTCGCCGTTGCTTCGGCAAAGAATCAACGGACCTGTCGGAAATCTGTCAATTAACCAACTTTTCAGCGCCGCCATTTCATCTTGGCGACGCCATCGACCGCGAACATAGCTGAATAGAAGATGTTCCGTCTAGATCGATAAACTGTCGCTCACTGCGACAGAAATTATCTAAAAAATAACTCCAGTGACATTACGATAATTTGCAATTAACTTTATGAACAGCTGTGACGTAGAATTGGTTAGATCCATGTAACAAGAAACGAGAACGTACGGGGATTCGATTAAACGGTTGTCTGACCTCAAAATTCCCATTCTACTGCAAGTTAGAAAACTGTTTGCAAGGTGCTATCGAACGTGACCAATTGTTCCAAGTTTAGACTACGTAGTTCGTGAAAAAGTATCGGGAAAATTTTACTTCGGGTTCGTGGCATCGGTGCACGAGGAATCGATGGCATTTGCGAAAGCTTGGTTGAAAGTCAGTAAGCACGTACTTTGGCTGCTGCGAGCGAAACTGTCGCGAGTAACAGGACGTGCAAAGTCCTCTTTGGAAAGGAAATGTTCCTAAAAGCGGTGATATAAATTCGACATCCATCTTTGAAGGAACCGACGAGGTGATCAAAAGATGATTAAACGTCGCTGTGAAAACTGACGTTTACGGTCAGACGGACTCAAAATACAGATTATTAAAGTTGTTTAATCTTTCAGTTATCATCGTCTCGACATTAAGAGTCCTCTTTTCTGATAAATAAAAATTGAATTTGCCGGGTCCTCGCTTTTTAAATAATCGCGGAATTTAGGAATAATTGATATTGTGCCTTCTTGATTCTTCTACGTATCTGCAGAGAAGATACGTTCCCATGAAACATGCAGAGTAGTACGCCAGCAGAGATCGTTCGATTCGTCGATGCAATGGAACGCATTAAAGGTGCATCGATGCCCTTTGCCCTCGTGCATGCTCCTCTATCCCCCAACGTCCTGGCTCATCTCGCTTTAATGCGTTTCCCTCGGTCGACAGTTGTTACCTAGCCGTCGAGGACCATCTAATC